TGGCCGCAGTGGCTGCAGACGAACGGCCGCTCCTCCATGTGCCACTCCTCCGTGTGCGTTACCTGGTGGCGCAGCAGGTGCGAGCTGCGGCTGAAGCTGCGGCCACACTCGCTACACACAAACGGCCGCTCTCCCGTGTGGATCTTCTGGTGCCGCACCAGGTTGTTGCGTTGGCTGAACACCTTTCCACACACGTCGCAACGGCCACCTCGCACGATGCCGCCCGTGCCCCCGTGGCGATCCTTGTGCTCGTCTCCCGGGTCCTCGGGGAGCGCGAGCGCATGCGAGGAGCCACCTTGTCGGGAGCGTGACTGGCGTTGGCTCGCAGTGCCCAGGCCGGCAGAGACGCTGTCCATCTGGGGCGCAGACCCTGTATTGCACAAGGGGACCCACTCAGTGCCAGCCCGCTGTGCCCGGGCATCCCAGCCCTGGGTCCACAGTGTGAACTGGAGGCTCCTGACTGACCAAGGAGGCAAACAGCCGGGGCAGGGCAGGGACTGTATCTGTGCAGCTTCCCCAGTGAGTGACAAGGGGACGGATCTTGCATGACGAGGAAGACTGAGAAGCCGGACAAGCTTTCCGGGTCTTACTTCAGTCTGCAAACATCACCTTTCTAGAAGGGCTGTGGTGCACGGTGGTGCTTGCACCGTCGGGGTGGGCGAGAGTGCTTTCAGAAAGCAGAGCTGAGTGGGCCTCTGAGGGGCAGTGAGTACGTGCAGGCTGTGGGTGCCGGAGTCGGGGCTGTCTTCATGGAAACCTGAATGTGAGTGCTGCGACATGTGCATGGCATAGGGAGCCCTGGGCCTGCATGAGATCGGACAGGGGGAGTGGAGAGGTGTCTGAAGAGCAGGAGATGCTGGGCGACTGGCCTGGTGCAAGCAAAGGCCACTGAGCAGCAGGGCTGGAGAAGAGGAAGCCCAGAGGAGGTCGGATCGAGGAGACCGTGTCGCAGCGGCTTCAATGGCAGCAGGAAAACCCTAAGGCAGCTAACCCACATAAAAGGAGATAACTGCACAGCAAAAGCTACTTAAGAGTTAAAAAAAACAAACAAACGAGAATCAGAAACCGCGGAGGCAAAGGTCTAATTAGTCTAAGAATTCTAGTAAACCGACACGAAAGACCAACAACCTGATCCACGTGGGCAAAGGATGCCAACAGGGAAGGAAATGTGACTAACACCGAAATCCCACAAAATACGCGTAGTCCCTTCTGTACGCACAAGTTGTACGCATCTACGGTCTCCCACCCTCACTGCAGACCAGGCCTCGGTGTGCATTGCCGGTGGACACAGACGGGAAGCCCGTAATGCAAGAGACGTCAGATGGCACCTTTCCCACACTGTGGTCCTGCAGCTGTGCTCCCCCCTGTGAAGTGACCTACGTACTTGGTTTCTCAGTTCATTACTGAAAAGTAACCCAAACGTCAGCAGGAGCCCGGGCGGACACAGTGTGCGCACAGTGGGGCTCTGCAGCCGTCCAAGGACGGCCCTGGCTGCACAGGGGATGCCAGGCATGGAGCAGGTGCATTTGAGCGTGTTTGCTCCTGTATGTACGCGCTCTGGAAGGACACGTCATGCTGGCTGCGGGGGAGCAGGGCGGTGTGACAGGCAGGATTCACTGATATTCTCAGAGAATCAACCTGTTTTACCCCTCCTGGGCACTCACTGAGGACTCCCTCTGCCTTTTGAATTTTCTAACGTGTGAGTTACTCAGAATATTCTCATGGTGAAGATGCTGGCTACACAGAAAACATTCACTGGAGGTGCCGGGGAGCAGCCAGGAGACTGGCGGGGAGACCCAGGTGGCTGAGGGACCAGTGTTTGAAGGTGGGAGCTGCGGTTGTCTAGGGAGTGCAGCCGGAGGCGAGAATGGAGCTGTGAGGTGGTGCTGCCAGTGGGCGGGGAAGACGGGTGATGAACTGAGAAGCAGGCCCAGCGAGAGGGGGAGCCAGCCGCGTGGCACAGGCTGGGCCTCGCTGGCAGCTGAGAATTAAACAGCAGCAAGGGCAGGTGCCAGATCCTGCTCTCGGCTCCAAAACACAGAACGTGACTTAAAAACACCCTGGGCAAAGCCCAAGTAAGAAAGGCCGGCTGGTGAGACCCAGGATCCACAGCTGCCAGTGAGCTATAGAGCCTGGCTGAGGGTCAGGGTGGGTCCGCCCAGGCCACCCACAGACCTGGGCTGCAGAGGGAGCGCCCTGAATGGCCTGGGGCCTGGGTGCACCTTCACGACAGGGTTTCGATGGGCCCTGTGGCAGCCCCTCACCCAGGACTAGGCTGAGTGCAGGGACAAGCAAGCTCCTACAGCCCAGACGGGCAAGCTGCCAACCGTGCAGCTAGTGGGAGAACTCAGCCCAGCAAACCGAGCTAACTAACCAGTCTGGGAAGGAAGCTAAATTATTTCCAAAGCCTCAACGAGGGACCAGCATCTCTGAAACAAAGATATGAAAAAAGAGTGAGTAGGATCCTTACTGGTAACACAGCAGACGGGGACGAGTGGGAAACAATTTAAATTTGCTCCATCCTGAAACAACAGTAAGACAACATAAAATCCTTTTTGTTTTTCTTTTAAGGCATCAAATCCCCAAAGATGAAGAGAAAAGGAAACACCACTGACCTCTGGAAAGCAGAGGGGCAGGTGACTGTAGAGACTGGAGAAGGCGAACACTAAGTCAGCAGGAGGGAAACAAAATCAACCTGTTTTACCCCAAAGAACATTCGGAAAGTTCAGGAGTCGGAGGTACCAGGTACATCTGGCCGTGCAGGGTGAGGGGTGCCATGCAGGTCAGGGAGAAGCTGGGCAGGGCAAGGGCAAGGACCAGCTCTAGGCTCTGTCTGCACAGGATGCTGAGCAGACAGCGGGCTCTGTTGTCGCTTGGATTCTGGGTCTCCTCCCATCTTGGCCAAAGGCGGGGTTGAGGCAGGAGACCAACTGAGGAAGTTAAGGGGTTAAGTGAAGTCACATTGTGTGCTGAGCAGCAGCCTCTCCTGGGATACTGGCAAAAGGCTGGAAGTGCCTTCCTGGGGGGCACGGGTGCCTCAAACAGTCCAGCCAGAGTACCTGACAGATCTTCACTGGCACCCACTGACACCCCCTCTCCCCACTCATATCCCCCAAGATGTGGGTCTTGGGGAGTGATGCCTCCATGTCTTTCCCAGCCCCTCACCCACCTGCTCAGAGCTCCCAGATTGGTGGTCCCCGTCTTAAACATAAGCAAACAACTTGGAGGGAACAGAGACCATATTGGGAGAAGAAAACCTAAAACAAGTTACTGATATTCTCAGACAAATAAGAAAAGACATTGTAACTGTGAGGACAACAGGAAGTGGCTATAAAAACGAAAGTTCAGGGAATGGAACCCTCCTGGAAGTTAAAACCAACGAGCAGCTATGAGCATCTCCACAGGGTCTGGAAGATGTCAGTGAAGGACTCTGGACGACAGAATACAAAGAAAAGGATGACGGTCAGAGTGAGAAGGTAAGAACATTGTAGCTGGTCAAGCGGAATGAAGTGAACTAGAAGAGGACGTTCTGCTGAGAAAAGGCGGGGGCCTGCAAGCGGGCCACGTCAGAACAAAGTCTTGCAAACAAGACTTATTGTTTAGAGGCAGAATTTTCCTTGAGGTGATAAATAGCCCATGAGGGCATGGAAAGCCAGGGAGGGTGCACTGCTGCAGGTGGAAATAATCTCTGTATAACATAGGAAATGAATAGTGTAATGTGTAACTTAGCTCTGATGATCTCATAAGCATGCCTGTTAGTCATTGTCACTTGCTGTGCTCCATTGTTATTTGCTGTACTCCCCAAATAAAAGCCATGAGGGCTTTGGGGCTTTGCTACTTGCCTGACTAGCAATAGCCCTCTGCTTCTCTAACTTCATCCTGCACACCGAGCTCATCTCAGCGTCTCCGTTCACAAAGAACACCAATAAACATTAGAGTCAGAACGAAACAATGAGAAGGAAATCAAAGAAACCATTCCAGCCAGTGTCCCACGATGGAATGTGCTTTTCAAATGGGTAAGGCTCACCAACAGTGCGATACAGAAACCTGTGAGGGCGTTAATAAAACGAATCCTTTATCCAGGCAAGCTTCCGTGTGACGGGGCGTGTAGACAGGTGTGTCTCAGAACGTTACTTAAGTCCCACGCCAGAGTTCAGAGCGAGGTCTGAGGATACGGGAAGGAACCAGGAAGGAGGGGTCACAGAAACAGGAAGAGACCAGGACCTGGGTGACGGCCAGCCTCGGGCTGAGTGCCCAGGCGGACACCTGGGAGATGGTGTGACTCCCGCTGTGCTGCCCGCCCCCGTCTGCTAACCTGTCCTTGCCACTCCTGACCCTCCCTTTGCCGACACTCTAGTTTGGCCACGGGATGCCAGAGCCGGGAGGTGTGGGCTGGGGAACAGAGGCCCAGTCTTGGAGGTGTCACTGAGGTGGGGGAAGCAGCTGGATGGAGGGGCGTGAGGTCAGTGGAGAGCGGGGCTTTTGAGGCTTGGAGATGCTGAAGGTCGATGCTGCGAGGGATGGTCCAGGGAGTGGGGGAGCAGGGCTAGGAATGGGATAGGCAGATAGGTTTCTGCCCACACAGAGGGCCCGCCCCACCGTGCCCCATCTTAACTCACCTGGGGAGGTGATGCCCCCAGCTTCCTCGTTCCACAGGGCCCCCGGGTGTTCCCTCCATGAGGAGCCCTCAGGCTCAGTCTTGTTGTGGGGAGAGGCCTGGTCCAGCAACATCCCACAGTCCTGAAACCACAGTGGTCACGGCTCGTCTTGCCCCGAGAGGCCCAGGGAGGGACCTACCAACCTCCACCCATGAGGCTCCTGGCCTGTGGGGCTCACCTGGGCCTCAGGCAGGAGAGTGGAAGCGGCCTCCTGCGGGTTGACCGGAGCCTCAGAATCCAGAAACTCTGGAGAGGAAGGATGGGGTTAGGTGTCCCACGGTTCCCGCCCCACGACTCTCCCCAGTGGCACGCTGGGTACTGGGATCCAGGTGGGGAGGGATGGTTGCAGGGTAGCTCCAGGGGCCCCTGGAAGGCCCAGGAGGAGGTGGCTGAGGTCTGCCCTGCACGCCTGCGTGAGATCTGGGCACACGGACAGTGAGGGGGGGGAGAGGGGCACTGCCCAAGGGACCACAGGAGTGGTGGAGTGGGCGGCCAGCTGTGGCACCTGCCCGGGAGGTGTGCAAGGGAGGGTCAGGCCCCCAGCACTTTGGGGTCCTCCCTCATCTGCACCCACCCATCCCCCCAGCCTGCTGTCGCCTCTCCTGTGACCGGCTGACGTCCCTCAGTGGAGCTCCTTGCGGAGGGAACCCCGCATGCCTCCCCCACGTGGACACCCCAGCAGCTCGGCTCATGCCAGGGGAGAGCATGGAGACAACTGACAGTCAGGCTTGGCTGCGAGGGGTCCTGCCAGCTGCTGCCTAGGAGGGAGGGGCCCAGTGCGTGGCCATGGCCCATCCATTAGGTGACTGGCCCAGTGGCCCAGCTCCCAGGTCCATCCAGTGAGGCCCTGGGCCCTGCCTACCTTGCCTGTCCTCAGCTGGGTCCTCAGGCTCCTTTTTCACCTGAGGGCTCGGCGGCGACCTCTGCGTGGTGACCTCTGTCTCAGGCCCAGGTTCCGTAGTCTGAGGCTTGGTTTGCGGGAGGGACTGGAAGTCGGAGGGCTCCACCTTCTCTGATAGCACCTCCTGCCCCTGCACCTGGACTGTGACCTGGGGAGGGGCCCCGTCTCATTAGGGGCCCAGGCCGGGAGTTGGGGCTGGACCCCAATGCAGGACTTCAAGGTCTGGACTAACTAGGTCCTTCAGGGAACCCATCCCCCGGGGAATGCGCAGGGCGTGTCCTATGTCGACACCCGCCCTGCGTCCCTCCTTGTGTCCATGACCCTGCATGGGACACGTGTCCAGCTGAGCACGGCCTCCCCAGGTTATGTTCAGGGCAACCGACTCACCCATCTCCGGGGTCCTTCTGGCTCCCGACGCAGCCCCTCCACCAGGGCCACGGCCTCCTCAGGGCTGCCTGGCCGCTGCCCTCGCACTCGGGCCTGGATCTTGGGGGGCAGCGCGCCCAGGAACTGCTCCAGCACCAGCAGCTCCAGCATCTGCTCCTTGGAGTGCACCTCCGGCCGCAGCCACTGGCGGCACAGCTTCCGGAGCAGGGCCAGGGCCTCTCCGGGCCCTGCTGCCTCCTCGTAGCGGAAGTGCCAGAAACACCAGCACGCAGCCTCTGGGCCGGGATCCCAGGGGGTGGCCTCCTCCTCCTCCTCCAGCTTCACCACGATGGGGCTCTCGTCCTCTGGGGCTGTGTGCCCAGGGGAGCACAGTGCTGCCGGCCTCATGGGAAAGATGGCGCGGGCCACGAGGCTACTGCTCACCCTGGGGATGGATGGGATGAGGCTGCTGCAATGACAGGGAGTGAATGCTTATTGAGTGCCGACTGTATGCTGTGCTGTCCCGTCCTCAGTCCTGCCTGGGGGAAGGCGGATAGGACACGGAGGCTCAGGGAGGTGATTACTGGGCCTGCAGAACCTCTGGTCACCCCCAGCCCCAAAGAACTCTTAGGCTCAGAAGTCACCTCTTCTTGCCCCTAAATCCTGCTCTTTCCTTTAAAAAAATTTTTTTTATTGATTTTTTTACAGAGAGGAAGGGAGAGGGATAGAGAGTTAGAAACATCAGATCAGCTGCCTCCTGCACCCCCCTACTGGGGATATGCCCGAAACCAAGGTACATGCTCTTGACTGGAATCGAACCTGGGACCCTTCAGTCCACAGGCCGATGCTCTATCCACTGAGCCAAACCGGTCAGGGCAATTCTCTTTCTATGTACATCACCCCATCCCTGCCCTGTAGCTCTCCCTCTCACAGGTGATTGTCACCAACACCCACCACCGGGGCATCAGCCCCATTACCGCCCCTCTAAGCCAGCCCATCATTGCACCACCCACTCTTCCACCCAGTCTCAGACCACTCCCCGGCCATCTTGGTTCCACAGGGCAGTCTCCCTCCAACTGCCACCCCCAGCACCTGTGCAAAGTCACCCGTGTGGCTCAGCCCCCAGGTGGCATCCTCCCCCAATTCAGCTCCCTCCTCTGAGCCCTGCTTATCACGCCGAGCAAATCATGGTCGTCTCAGCTTCCTGACAGGTGGACCCGGGAGGTGAGAGGGGAGCCCTGCGACCACGGACCGGAGGCTGGTCTCGCTATTTGCCACGTAACCTTGGCAGGTCGCTGTGTCTCGTGAATGTGTCATCTGCCCCCCCCCCCCCCCACTCCGCTGCTCCTGCAGCTGTTAGGCGCGGGCTTTGTGCAGGAATCTGTTCATTAAGGGTGTGGATTCGGTTTCGGCGGCCGCCTGATTCCGTGAGCCCACCCTCCGCTCCTCTTGGTCCCAGGTCAACCCCCAAACCCTGGGAGAAAGTTGGACCGTCGTCCAGCCAGCCGGGCCTCGCGGAGATTCCTGGACTACATTGACCAGAAGCCTTGGCGGGCAACTTCCGCTCTAGGGAGCTCGGCAGGTCCAGGTGCCGCCAAGGCAACCGGGGGCGGGGCTCCAGGCCCCGTG